TTTTTTTTTTGAGTGCTTAATAATGAACCTCCACACAACCACCATTTCTCTCTTGTTCTATAAGGGCCATCATTTCTTTAACTCCATTATTGCAAGAAAGTTGTATAAATCAACAAACCCAGAAAGAAAATAAAAAATAAAAAGAATAAAATAGAAGGAGTGCTTTACACTATATATACAAGTATCTATCTGCCCACAACTAGTGGAGACATGGATAGAGATGAGACATGGGAAAGTACAAAGATTACACAATCTTATTGCCATTTATGAGAATTTTGACAAACACCTGGTGTGCATATCAAATTCTTAATTTTTTTTTCTTTTTTTTTTTTCTCTTGTATTGTGAGCATTAAAATTGGTCTAGAAATGTCATGATTTGCATGAGGACTATGAAAGTAGGTAGGGGTGAGCTTAGTGGATTACTGAGTTGGAGCATTAATTTTTGCCTACTTTTTTTTATGACTGTTCTTTAGGGGTGTTGGGTTTGGCAACCTTGGAAAATTGCCATGGCACCCAGTGGGATTATATCAGGTGCCGTTTGCAGATTTGCAAGTGGCGTCATCCTTTTTTTTTTTCCCTTAAATTTTGGGGGTTAGAGCATCTCCAAGAAACTTCTTATTTTAGACTTCTTACTTGGAGAAATAAAGAGCCATCCTATATCCATTTGCTTCCTATTTTCTGTTGTTCTCTAAGAGTCTCCCTATTTTATAATTTGAATATAAACCAGACCCACAAATCTATCTAAAAGCCACTTGAAGCCCACTTGATATTGTAATTGTTAAAGATTATAATAGTAATTAACTAATTTTAAAATATTCACTATTTTTTTTTAATTATTATAATTAGTAATTTATTATCAATTATTTTTTATAATTTTTCCTTTATTAATATAATATTATTTCTTTTTAGATTATTATTATTATTATACTAATTGTTATTATAATTTATTAATTTTTAATCAAAAAAATTATTTTTTTGAACAATTTTTATTTTTTTAATTTTTTAATTTTAATT